GCCACAGACCCTTTCCTGTGGAGAATGCAGTTTTCTCCTTGTCCTTAGGGTCAATTTCAACCTGCCAGTAGCCACTTTTCAGATCCAGCGTACTAAACCACTTTACGCCTGTAAGCATGTCCAGCGTGTCATCAATTCTTGGCAAGGGATAGCTGTCCTTCTTTGTAACGTCGTTCAGGCGGCGGTAGTCAACACAAAACCGCATGCTGCCGTCCTTCTTTTTTACCAGCACCACAGGTGAACACCATGGACTAGATGAAGGTTCAATAACACCATCCCTCAGCATTCCCTCAATCATGGTTTCCACTTCCTTTTCACGTGCTACAGGCAATCTTCTTGGCCGCTGACGAATAGGCAATTCTTGTCCTGTGTTTATTTTGTGTTGAACTAAGGCAGTCTTTTCTATGTCAGCTTCGTTTGACGAGAAAACATTGGCGTACTTGAGTAACAACTTCTTCGCCTTGATCATTTCATTCGGGGAGAGAACGCTGCGACAGTCTTTTAAAAGTGTAGTCACTCTCGTTTGTCCATCCTTGCTAGGGGTCCCGGTCGATAGATATTCGCACCGACGCAACCAATCCACTTCCTCACTAGTACCGACCAATGTGCGTTTTTCTATAATCTGTTCCTGATCACAAAGGTTCAACACACGTACTCCTGAGATGTCGGTGGTTCTGACCAAGGTTCGAGCCACTTTCCATGGAAGGTCATTGTCTACCCTTTCCACGAGTACACAACGATGAGCTTGCCCAGGACTCCGAGGAAGACTAACCGGCACAATCGTTTCGGATCTCGGCGGAAGAACAATTTTCTTAAGGCTGTACACATTCCCTGGTAACGCCCCTTCCATGAAAAGTTCCTCTTGTCCACATTTCAAAACACCTTGCTTAACGTCGATCTCACAACAATTCTTCCTCATAAAGTCTAGGCCCAGGATGCAGTCGTCCATTATATCAGCCACGATGACATTATGCAGGTAGATCATGTTGCCTAGCTTCAACTCCATCTCCTTCTCTCCACGGACGGGTATGCGCTGACCGGTGGCTGTCACCAAATTAATGTGTTCTCGGTTGTATGCGGAGTCCCCAAGGAACCGACTTATAAGTTGGGAACTGACAACCGTGCGAGAGGCTCCAGTGTCTATGGTCAGTTTACACGGCGTTCCGTTGACTTCGCCCTTGATGATTAGGCTGTTCCCATCATGGGTTTGTGAGATCGAAATCCTTGGGGCACTTTTAACATCAGCCAGCACCCGCCCCGCAGTCCTGGCTTTTACTCGTTTCCCTGCTGCTGCTGGGCGGTGCTATTAGCCGCACTACCCTCTCGAGATCGATCACCTTCCCTTTCTACAGTTCGCTTAGGGCAGCTGGATCGAAGATGGCCCCTTTCCCCACAGCCGTAGCATCTAGGGCTGTAGCTTTTATTGCGGTCCTGAACTGTAGCTGCTGCAACCTCCCTGACGCGGTGGGAACGATGATCCTGCCGCACGGCTTCCACCTCCAGTGCATGGGTCAAGGCGTCCTTAAGCGTCTCGTGGTGCCCGAGCCTCACAGCAGCTCTGACTTCAAGGTCGCGGATGCCGTCGATGAATGTCTGCACCAAGTTCCCTACAACAAGCGCAGGTACAGACTGGTATGCTTTTCGAACCAGCTTCTCCACCTCAAGGGCCCACTGCTGCAGGTTTTCGTTACTGCGTTGCACGCGATCTTTGAGCTGCGCACGAAAGACGTGTTCAAGGGTGAGCGTCGCCATATCTCGCCTCCAATGCCTCAAGGAGCTGCTCGTAAGTCACTTCCTTACCGAGAGCTTCCAGAACAGTTAAGGCCTGGTCGCGCAGGCCTAGGGTGAGAGCAGTCATGGCCTGACTTTTATTCCAGCCGTTTGCTTTCATGACAGCCTCGAACTGGATTTTGTAGGCCGACCAGGAAGAAGTCCCATCGAACGGTGGCACTTTGAATCCACGTAGCGAAGGTGTTGTAGCTACCACGGGAGCTGTAACTCCATCCCCAATTTTGAGGTCGTTCAGCGTTTTCTTCACGTCAGCCATCACATTGTCAACCCGATTGTACACTTGGCCGATTCGGGTTTCAGCTTCCGACAGGCGGTAGTCATATTGAGCAACCTTATCCTTCACCTCACTTATTTCTTTCCCGAAGGTAGCGTGAAGGTCCTTCATGAGAAGTATCTGCTCTTCCTTATCGCGTTTAAGCTGCTCTTCCAACCGACGGCCCTGTTCCTCCTGTTGGCGGGCTTGTTCCTCCTGTCCGCGCTGCAGCTGCTCTTCCAACCGACAAGCCTGTTCCTCCTGTCGGCGGGCCTGTTCCTCCTGTCGGCGGGCCTGTTCCTCCTGTCGGCGAGCTTGTTCCTGCAGCATCATCATAAGAGTACCTAAGTCAGGTGCTGCAGATGCAGGAGCTGTTGACGGGCCGGACTCCGTGGTCGGCAACTGGCCTGCCGACGTCTGTGACGTTGCACCACCAAATCGTCTCTGGTCCGTCTCCTGTTGGCATTGACTTCGGGTACGGATACCCTCGGTGTCGTCTTTAGGTAAAATCGGCATATTTGATCCCACTTCTGACACCAATTGTTACGAGCTTGGGGTTCGAGACAATTAAAAACTGCCGATTGAATTACCAAAATTGACACTTTAATTACACAACACTAATTACAATCTAAAATCACACTAATAATAAAACACAGTTCGCCGTTATTTCGCTTAGAAATATTCTCTTGTATCGCCAATTCAATACCGCCTCGGTCGTGGTCTATACCGGCCTTATATAGGGCCTCAGACAGTTTCCAGAACCTTCCACTGTAGCGACATCTAGAATGTTCGAGTACATATCGGTCCCGAAATTTCTGGAAGGATCTCGACTCTCCTAGTTCTGCTACTCGACACTAGAGGGCGCTAGTGTAACTAGTGTTGCCATGTACAAGACATTAATAGTGGCGCGCAACACTTTCTTTTACTCGACACTAGAGGGTGCTAGTGTAACTAGTGTTGCCATGTACAAGACATTAATAGTGGCGCGTAACATTATCATTAAAATCACCAATACAATCCTTTAAGGTCATATAATTCCTTTGAATGAGTTTTTCTGTAAATAACCAAACAATGGAATTATACGAACTTAGAGGGTTGTATTGATGATTAGAATGATTATAATTCTATAAGTAGATACTCGCCATGGTCGCGAATCATATTTTGTTAAACATATAACCTGATACTGACCTGTAAATTGCAAAAAAACGTATGACCCTGTACCCTGTAGCTTCCACCTTAACGAAATGACAAAATCGAATTGTCCTTATAACATAACGGGAATTGATCACCTTTCTTGAGAATTTTATCTTATCCCAGTTTTCATCCTGCGAATATTATTATAGAACACTGGACATAAAAAAAAGAAATTTAAAATTCCAAAGTTTATTTATTTTTACATAAATCACAGAAAGTATAACCAGAAAAGTTCTTACACTGAGCTCTGGTATAAATATTTTTTCAATGTAATATTTAAATCTATGCCTTAGCCTAATTCTGCAAACATCGAAACTTGTCAGTAGAGAAATTTAAATTTTCTTATTACGTTTCGGGACTACGGGAATTTATGTAAATACAAAAGATTTTATAACTTTACAATTTTAAATTTAGGCTTTTAATTATTTCAAAAAACGCGTCTAAACACGACATATAATTTGTGTATTACACAAAAATAATCGTCTACTTCTATTAGAACTGTAACCATTGTGAATTCGGCAGCCATGAACTTTGTTCGGTAGTTAGCGTATGCTCGACATATTTTGGTGCCCACAAATAAATAAACGTCCTAGACGAAGTTTGTCGACCACATTGGCGATTTAATGAAAATGGGCCAAATTAAAAGTATGTGTTTCTCTTTGCTGCAGTGCACAAAGATCCGGTTTCGATGTGAAGTAGCCAAGGTAGGTTGCGCAGAATATCTTAGTTTCGTTTTACGAAATCGATAATATCACTAGATGGGATCATAATATTTATGGAATGACGTTACCACAGTATTATTTGTTAACGTTTACGCACTTCTTCCGAATCGAATCAGTCATCAGGTGAGGGGTGATGATGTATCCCAAACTTCTCCTACGTCTTTGTACGTATAATAACATTGTCATAAGTTGACTGCGACTGACAGGAAAAACAGTGAAAGACATAAGCGCTGTTTACCAAACAGCACCCAGATTTAGCCTAAACTTTCGAATCTCAAATGTACAAGCGAGAATCGCATTTGCAGTGCATAAACGCTTTTAATCGACGAACATATACGCGTAGATATATTAATGTGAAAGAAACGAGAGAGATGTGTCAGAATCGTGCCAAACTGAAGTTCATAGTCTCTGCCTACCACTCTAGGTGACAGGAAGAACGACATAATTATTTTTTTGATAGAAGATAGCAGTAAGAATCAAACGCAACAAATATTATCAGTTTAACGTTACAATCAATTATACTTACAAATTATTTGAAATATTTTCATGATAAAATCTGCTGAATAAAACAAAACTTAAAATTATTTACCTTTAGATGGTTAAAGTTGAGGTTATTAGACATAACATAAACTTATTATTATAAGTGTACTACTTATCAGCATTGAATCGTCATATTTGTCATAATTATATAAATGCCCTTACATTATGAATATAAACACAAAACATTGACCCGCTAACCGAACATATTGTAAGAAATTGCAAAAAACATTCCAATGCTTACAGATAGGGTTTGGATGTATCCATTATCATATTACACATCACACTACACAATTTAGCATTGAATTCAAACAACAGGAATATGCTTAATAATATAATTACTTATAAGTGACCCTATTAAGTGTATTAATACAAAAACTTATGCAAGACCTAACTAGATTAATATTTTAATACTTCTATATTTACAACTTAATCTTACATAATTATGTACAAGTTTTTGTTTTGTTTAAATAATAATTTATACAACGCAAAAAAAATACTTTTTAAGTGACTGATATTCTTGATAATGTATTTCTCCATACTTTAAATGGTTTTTCTCTTACATAATCTTTCAACAATTGCTCAAGCTCCGGAGACACATTTTGAGGATTCCATGACAGTAATGCTTGTGTAACACGGGTTTGGTTGTGCCTTTTCATATACAGTAAAGATGAGAAAATGGCTTCTTTCATACTAGGTGAGACTGCAAAAATATTTTTTATTAATACAACCTATTTTCTACAACAAAATAAAATCATGTCTTACGTTGTTGTTACATCCTATTTATATTGACAGAGGCCAATGTAACGTGTAAGTAAAGATAAATCAATGGACAATACAAAATATCTAGCCCTTAAATAAATTCTGTCCATGTTCATTCAATCAGTGTGATAAAACTGGGTGTCTCTCAGCCTCTACAATCTCTCTATAAATGATCTTTCTTATATGGTACAAAAGTATCTGAGATAACTGTTTTTGCTGATAATACTTAATTTTTACTTAAAGTTAAAAGAAAATACTTTGCAGTAAATTGCCTAACCAAATACTGTATATTGTTTCCAAATGGTTTGGAAAAAACGATTTGTTTTTAAATGCAGAAAAAATGAAATATTTTCAGATTCCATTGTCTTATTCGTAACATAACATTGATAGATAATACTCAGTGTTTCTTTTGATCCCCATCTCCGGTGAGGAGCAAAAATTGATAAACTAGCTTCGAAATTCGGTTATGCTATCTTTGCTATTAGAATAATTAGAAAGCTGACCAACGGAGATCCGCAGCAGAATTGGAAACAATATTCACTTTGCAAAAGCAAGCAATACAGGGCAATATATAATTCCGGACATCGTGAGTCACTACGCATATTTTTAAAGTCACTTCCGTAATTGTTTATTTTACAGAACAACTGTGTAAGGAAAAATATAAATTTAAATAAAAAACGGACGGTCTCATGTAGAACGTGTCGCCAAATAAGCTAAACGTCGTCGTTAAATAAGCTAAACTTAGAAAGGCATTTGAGTTAATTCTTTACAGTAGTCCATAAAAAGTTACAATGAAGTAATAGATTTTGACATTCATGAGAGAAAAAATTGCCTAAATTGAAAGTTTTGACTTTGACGTAGAGTTCAGAATATCTACCGTCTACTCATTAACCAAACTAAACATGAGTCCGCTCCTAAATAAGGGGGATTTGCCGTAACTATCCTACATGGTAGTCATCGCTTCCCATCACAGATATAGATATTTTACAACTGTTTTAAAACCAAATTATTATAAAACTAATTATCGGAGTTTAGACATAGGGAAACTGAAAAGGAGATGGACAGGAGCATCTTCCTGATAATAACATAATAATAATAAAAAAAGCAATGGTAATAGTTTATATAGATAAACTATTGCCCACCCGCCTGCCAAACGTGGTAACACCTATGAAGTAACCTGTGAGAAAGGCCTATGTTTAGGAGTGAACTTCTCATGGGCTGTAATGAATGAATCAAACGTAAACACAGCTTTTCTGCATCACTACAGCGGCGTTAGATTTAACGCTAAATGCTAAAACGCGTTGTAAACAAAAAAAGCTCTTAATATGGAACTAGAAACGTAAAGATGTTTTTTTCTATACTAATGGTATAAGTAAAGTTACAGCCTATAAACATCACACAGCTGGAACACAAGCCTCTTCTCATTTCTGAGGATTATGGAGAGATTGGACTGCCGCACTGCTTTAGTTCGTACTGTCCACGAAATATTTTACACCTGCAGGTTTCCTTAGAATGTCTTCCTACACTGCCAAGCACATGATAAATCAGCACTCAAACTGGAACTGACAATTTCATTGGTGCTAGTGGGTCTTGAACCCGGGTTTTAGCTGCGTACATTCAAATTTACAAGGAGTTTTAACCCCTGACCTACCACGGTTCCATATAATTATTACATTAAGCGTCAGTAGCCGAATGGCAGGGCGCAGACCGCGAACTCGAAAGGTCGTGGGTTCGAATCCACCATTCGACTACTGTCGTGAACCACTTCTAACACAAGCATTTTAAGCTTACCAGAAGTGGTTAAAGGGAATATTAGTAATGTTTAATAGCATTACTAGTATTTTATTTTTAAATGTGAGTTTTAAATGCCTATGCTGTCATTTTTTATAAGAAAGCAGTCGAATGGCGGATACGAACATACAACTTACTTAATTTAGCAGTCTTTCTCAGTCTGTATTCTTAACCATGCTTACATATCAGTCACAGCTCACAACACCCTATATCTAATTTAGTCATTCATACACTAAATATAAAAGATGGATTAATGGAATAAACACAAATACATACCATTGCGTTCCAACATATCTAGTAATTGATTAACAATAATTTCACAATGAACTTTCATATCGTTAGGATAGGGCTTTAACAAAGGCCCTAACACTGACACAGAAAACTCTTTGATCCTATCTGGCACATCTTCTTTTTCTATAAGTGGTTGTAACATGTTTTTAACTAAATTCTTTTGACACCACTGAGGTCCTCTGCGTTTTGCAAGGATAATAAGGGACATTCTCAACATTTTCTTTTCAATAGGTACATCTGAAAAAAAATTAGAGTAAGAATAAAATTAGTGGGTATAATAAAATTTACTTAAAAGTCAAATATACTGAGCTTTACACATATGAAAACATAATATAATATGAGACGGTAATCCGACATATATTTTATATATGTATATGTCGGATTACCATATATTTTTACGTGGTAGAGCCACGCTGCAACTTTATTATGGTTGTAGCATGAATGAGTCGACTCGACCGGGATAGGACCACGCTCGCACAGAATACCAGCGTAACATAGCAGCTTGGTGCTGCTGTGTTTCGTATGGTGAGTGTAGAGAACCGGACACTGTTATTACTGGAAACGAGGCATTCCATCTTAGTCCTCAGGGGTCAACGCGTCTGCATTTTAATTCTTAAACGAGGATAAGTGTAGATGTATATGAGCCATAGCATCCACTTATCATTAGGTGGACTGGGTGCGCATTTGTAATCTCATTCTATAAAAAAAACGGCCGGAGAGAGATCAAGTGCAGGACTCTCGGCTTTACGTGCTTCCGAGGCACGGGGGTAAGACACCGCCAACTTCCTGACTCCGGGCTACTACTACTACTACTACTACTCTGAGAATTTGTTGATGGAATACCCCAATAACTGATGATCAGCAACCGCTTTTACGACCATTAGATCCAACGAGGCAGAATTAGAATTATTAGAATTAGATATAACGACTCGGTATCACAGTGGCTAAATGTTTCACTGCGGCTCTGTGGGCCTCAGGTTCGAATCTATCGGGTCAACTATTAATATAGTCCACAAATAATTATTGTTCTCGATCTGAAAATTTGGCATGTTGCAATTTTATACGTAAAACTACCCCAGTAATAATACAGTAAAAATGTATATTATAATGAGGCGGGTAACATTTTCACTTTATATAAGTAAGAAAAACTACAAGGTTAAATTAGGGAGTTTGTAATAAATTTTACTACTATGGCATCGTACTGCAGTAATTTTTAAAATAATCGAGTAAAGAAGGACATTAAATATATTAGTTCTAAGTCTCAGCCAAGACATTGATGTAATTGAATAAGAAATTTCTGGTCATCATAATGTCCTCCAGACCGAATTTCGGTCACGACGGCCAGCCTCAACGGAGACTAGCCATCGGCGCAGGGCATGATTAAAGTGCCCAAGTGTATGCGCAAGCGCTGGTGCACTCTCTATTCCCTCGCTCTCATAGTCGGAAGGAACGGTAAACCGACATGAACGGAGAGATCAGACGCAGGAACAACGGCATGCTTTCCGGGGCACGGGGGTGAGACACCGCCAATTTCCTGACTCCGGGTAGCTACTGAGAGTTTCTTGATGGAAAAGCTCAATAACTGATTTTTTGGCCCGGCCCGGGATTCGAACCCGGGACCTCATGATCAGCAGTCGCACTGCTACAACCACTAGACCAACGAGGCAGTCATGATAATGCATTTATTACTAGACAAGTCAGTTGAAAACTAGTACAAGGGCGACACTGAAAGTTTTTAGAACTGGCCATTTATAAACAATATAATAAAAGAATAAGTTCAAATTTTGAAAATGGAACTCTTTGCCAATATTATTGTGTATGTATATTTTATTAATTTGTCATTTGTTTACGATTTGGCAGCAAATTAAAAATTGTCTGTGCCACGTCAGACTGAATTTAACGCGAGAAAATTTTTATACAATGATTTTTTATGACTTTCAATGTCATTTAAGTCAACAAGAAAGTTATGATAGACTTCGATTGGCCTTTCACAATGAAATTCCATCTTGTGCCACTGTTTACAGTGTCAGCCTCGTAGCTATATCTATAAGTTATAAACTATGCAATCAGAAACAAGGAAATAAATTATATGTGAAGGAATAAAAGATCTCAAAAAGAAATTGGCTACTGAATTATGCTGTTTATTGAATTAACATGCATTGCCTCACTCAAGTTTACTGTGACGGAGGAATAATCTTTTTGCCAGCCACTTAATTTAGCATTAACATATAGTAAGATACTTTCTTTTGAAGTTATATATAAAATCAGCGTTATGTCTTATGTCTAATTTAACACCAAATAATATCAAAGGAGCCAAGAAATTGCTTAAAAGTACAAGATGGTGTTGTGCTAAATTCAACCCAATGAGGGCTTCCACCCATTCACAACTTTATCTGCAACCAGGGCGGTACCACTTAAAAATGAGAAGTAATATTTAACAGATTTCTTAGCGGGGAAGTTAATTTGTTCGAAAAATGTAAAGGTTAATGTTTCCTTCTGTACTATTTGTTATATTTTATATAAATTAGATTTTTTTTTATATGTATAGGGTGACAAACAAGCACACAGTCCACCTGATGGTAAGTGGTTGCTGTGACACATCTACATATCTACATCTAGATTAAGAATAAATATGTTTCACAACAGTAGTTGCAAGGTGGATTCAAACATACTACTTCCAAATAAGTGCTTTGCAACCTTAAACTTTAGCCTACTGTCACTTGTTCAACATATTCTCCTTGAAATTTAACAGCGTCATATACATACCACGTAATTCTTTTATTGCATTTTTGAACATGTCCAAGATCTTAGCTTCTGTCCACTCTGTAACTTGGTAAAAATATTTCCGGCTCAATATTTCCCTTATCTCCTGTACCCTGTTAAATTTATCCTCACATTTGAAAAAGTGTAGAAGATAAACTAAACAGGTAACTAATGGGCTTTTTGCTGTAAGAAAATAGAATATTTAACAACACTTAATAATCACAAAGTTATATTACATATTATATAGAAACTATATTTTATTAATTACCTATGCCCATATGCGCCAAAGGTAAAATATGCATCCAGACCTCTAAGCATTGTTTTATTACAGTCACTGATTTATACTGAATACAATACATAGCATCTAAAATGAAAAGTCGTAAGCGACTCTTTGCTCTGAAATATCTACAAAGGACTGCATAGAAATGAGAAAGACTCTCTACTGTACTAAATTCGGGTGTATGATTCAACTGAAATAATGCAAATTCAATGTTAGCAAAAACAATTTTAACAAGGTCAACTGAAGGCCAAAGAGTTTGTAGCTGCTTTAAAATGTATATCAGAACTTGTTCTGATTTTGTCATTTGAGGCGCAGGCGGCGAGTTAACTTTGTTGAAAAGTTCATCTTTACGAACAGGGTCCTTTAGATATTTCATGAGACCAGCCATAAAGTTTTGCACATTCCAATTTTGTATTTCATTGACAAAATTATTCATAGCATTTTTTGTTTCATGGAGAGGAACTGTTAAAATATAAGCAATGCCTTGTTCCAATTTTTTGCAGATACTATTTGTTGCATTATCTGAAAAAAAAAAATCAAATATAAAAAAGATTTATACACATGTCAATGTTAATTATATTATAAATATAAGGGTAAAGAAACCATACCAGGAATTTTCTTTACATTGCCCTTGACTGAATATTTTGCATACTTTTCTAACATACGACATAATATGCTTTCTTTAGGATCGTATACTTTATCAGTATTTGATTGATTTTTACAACTTTTAGATGTCGAAATATCAGTATCAGTAAAGATGTCAAGATCACTGTAAGTAACAATTTCAGTTAATTTGTGAGCATCAGTATCTTTAATAGTACTTGTTTCCTCATTTTTCTGCGAAGTTGATAAGCGACTAGACCTCCTCCTATTGCAGATGGTTTGAGAGTTATCTGGAGTTATTATACTATTTTCAATATCACTATTCTTTATTGTCTGATCGTCAATGTTGGAAACGTGTACTACATTGGAACTTCGTAACATTCGTTTTGTTGTAACTTCTAATTGATCAGGCGCAACGCGTTTAAGTCGCCTGCGACTTTTAGGGACATTATTTGTAGAAGGATTTTCATCTTGGAGTAATATATCTGATGTTATAGTCCTATGCTTTTTAGTCTTCGGTTCGCTTAATTGTGATGATGACAAACATTTACTTCGGCTTCTTGTAGTTATTGAATTTGGTAGCAAGATGGAATGTTGTGGATTGATATCTATATTACTATTATTGTTAAGAGCAGAATCATTTACAGGCGTAACACAAATCTCAGGGCTTGTCTGATTTAGAGCAGTTACATGATTCGTAGATTCGACATCAAATAGAGAACTATCTTTATTTGTAGGGATTATATGTAAGTCCTGATTAAAACCGTTAGTTTTTCTTAAATCCATGAATATATCTTTGCTGTTATGCTTTTCTTTTGAATTGTCGTTTTTACAATCATTGGTTGTTTTTACATCCCCTGAAATGGATATATCTTTGCTGTTATGCTTTTCTTTTGAATTGTCTTTTTTACAATAATTGGTTGTATTTACATCATCTGAAATAGATATATCTTTGATGTTATGTTTTTCTTTTGAATTGTCTTTTTTACAATCATTGGTTGTATTTATATCCCCTGAAATGGAAATATCTTTGCTTTTATCTCTTTGTTTTGATTTTAATTCAGCCATTACTTTAACAGCATTTTCATATGCAATTTTATTATTTACTGTTATAGATTTCTCTAAAATTTTTTTCTTAACTAATAGTTGTTTTTGCCTCCTTACTTTTCTGATCGGTGGTGTCTTCGCTCTTCTAATCTTAGTTTGAGGTACCAATTTTTTTCTCAATTTGTCTAATCGGGTCAACTTTTTGGCTCTTTTTAATTTTTCTATAGTCGTTGTTGGCGATTTATTAATCTCTTTGCTAGTTATTTCGTCCCTAAGGTCACTAATATTATTTTGATGTATACTTTCTGAACGATCTTGTATGTCATCAATGTTTAACGATTTCTCTAACTCCGGTATCATGACTTGGTTATGGTCAACTGTGATATTTGAATTTTCCGACGTATTTTCAACTAATTCGTTTATTACGTGAGTGTTCTGAGGAGGTTTAGTAAATGCTACTGCAGTTACGGAAGTATCAATTATCTTATAATTTTTATTGCAATATTGACTTGGGTTTTGAATTTCTTCATCATTTAAGCGTAAATGATTTTGAAGTAAACTTTTAATATTTAATATTTCTTTTGCTAAATCAGTGATAGTTGCTTTCAATATTGCGTTTTCTTCCCCAACTTTTGCAGCGTCTTGACATACATAATCTTGGGTGATTTGATTTTTTTCCGTGTTTCGTGCAATCACCGGAGAGATTGGCATAGGCGTTATTATTTCGTGATCAAATCGCATTGCAGTTAAAATTTTTTCTACTTCACGATCATAGTAATGGTTTTTATTTAATATGTTACTGTTGTTTATTTCCAAGCACTCCCGTTCTTTAGATAATTTATCACAAGAATTGTTTATCTCACTGTCAGAGCAAAGCTCATAGAAATCTACAGGACTAGTTGCTATTTCTCGTTGTTTACTACTAATAGGACTGGTGGCAATAGCTTTACTACTAACAAAATCACTAAATTCTACTTCGGTTCCTATCTCTTTGGTAGATATTTGATTTTTGTATGCGCTCTTGTGATTTTCTCGCTGTTGTGGTAAAACATCATTTGACTTGTTCAAAATACTTTCATCACTAAGTTCATTGAAAAATACAGGACTAGTAGCCATTTCTCGATGTGTGTTGCTTGTTGTATCATGACTCACGGTATTACTCTTACTATCGACAAAATCTTTGAAGTCTACTGAAATTCCTATATCCTTTGTAGCTACGCGGCTTTTGTATGTACTCCAAGTATGCATTTCAAACAAATCCTGTTCTTTTATCAAATCATCATTCGAGTTATTCATATCACTGTCAATAGAAAGTTCAACAAAATCTACAGGGCTCATTGATATTTTTCGCGGTTTATTTCGTACAGGACTCGTGGCAACACTTTTACTAACAATAAAGTCACTATAGTTTACTGCAATTCCTATCTCCTTGGTAGCTACATGGCTTTTGAATGTACTCGAAGTACGCATTTCCTTACATTCTTCCTCTTTAGTTAAACGATCGTCTAAGTTCTTAATACCACTGTCAGAATGAAGTTTATCAAAATTTATAGGACTAGTTGCTATTTCTTGCTGTCTGTTACTTATAGGACTTGTGGCAACATTTTTAGTAGTAATTAACTTCCTGGAATCTACTGCGAATTCTATCTCTTTAGTTGTTACATGGTTTTTGTATGTACTGCAAGTATGCAATTCCAAGCACTCTAGGTCTTTTGGGAAAAAATCGAGTGTGTTGTTCATATCAATTTCAGAATTTAGTTTATCGAAATTTACAGGACTAGTTATCATTTCTCGCTGTCGGTTACTTATAGGACTAGTAGAGACACTTTTACTTATAATAAATTCTCTAGAGTCTACTGTGATTCCCATGTCCTTAGTAATTATTTGGTTCTTGTGCGCGCTATTAAACGGTATGGGGCTGGTAGCTGTTTCAATCCTCTCTTCATTTACTGTTATTGGACTTGTAGCAACATCTGAATAGTTCTTTTTGTCTTTTTGGATTACGTTACTAAATGGACTATCATTTATATAGTAATCTGGACTGTTGAAACATTTTTCGATATCTGAACAAGCCAGTGATGATCCGCGACCTGTGTCTTCGCTTATGATTTCATTACTCGAATCTGAATCTTGATCACCATCAATTCTTTTGTTGGTTGTCTCTGGAAAAGTAAAATTTATATAATTGGAATTTTCATATACATAGTTATTTTATTTTGCAATAACCGGCCAAAAGAGACAATTTCTTTTTGTATGGAAAATGGGCCCACCAAAAATTGTGGCGTAACTTAATGAAATACATCTATAGATTACATAAGTAATATTAGTTTACCGTATCTAACGCGAATACTGATAAATTAACAGTGAATGTAAATAGGCTTTGGTATAAATAAATAAATGCCAGCAGTGATGCCATCTTAGAAAAGAATTTCTATATAGAAAATAGTATTTTTAATGACTGTGAGATGGCGTTAATATCAAAGTAAAAGTAAGCTACTGAGGACTTTTATACCTCTGGCTATACCTAACGTCCAAAACATTATAGTATTTAAAAAAATCTCAATGATTCTGTGCTTTTTATCGTTTAAATTTAAAACGCGTGGTAATTCATTATTTTAACTGCTTTTTACTGCGCACGCACACATTCGTAAGGGTCGATCGGTAGGCAAAAACATTGTTGCCCATAAATCACATTCAATTTGGGATAATTTCAAATAAAATTAGAAGCCTTATTTACTAGTATTTTCAAAAACCGCAAAAACGGTATGTCATTATTTATATATTTAAAATTTGGCTAGTTTTTGTATAGTACGTGTATTCTGTATAGCACACGATACACAAATTACATGAAAACTATTATTTATAAGTGCTCAGGCCGACCGATTGCGGTTCAATTTCGTCAGATATGGTCGAAAAAGTTAAAAAACTTGTTCCTGAAGATGCTCGTCTGAAGAAAAAACAAATTGCAGAAATGACTGTAGTAACATGTAAGACCGTTTTAAACATTCTCCATGACTATCTTGGCATGTCTAAGGTCAGTGCAAGATGGGTGGTGATGAAACAACAGCAGGTCGAGTGTTGCGGGTTGAGCAGGGACGAAATTATGAACCGAATTGTGACAGGGGATTAAGCTTGGGTTTATCACATGAACCTGAGTCAAAGCAGGACTCCATGCAGTGGAATAAAAAGACGCAGCACCGCCTAAGAAGTTCAAGGTGTCATAATCGGCTGGAAAGACTATGGCTTCAGTTTTTTGGGATTCAGAGGGGATTTTACTGATCGATTATAAAGATAAAGTTGTCAATATTACGGGACAGTATTACGCTATGCTACTACAAAAATAAAAGGTGTGATTAAAAAAAAAAGAAGGGGAAAATGATTTCGAGGTGGGTCCTTTTGCACGACAACGCATCCTTTCACAAGTCATGTTGCGATGGCTTCCTTATACAAATGCGGCTTCGAAACTCTAAACCCTCCCTCTCTATAGTCCAGATTAGCCCATTCGGATTATTATTTGTTCCCAAATATGAAAGAAGAGCTTCGGGGAAAGACATTTACAGATGACAAAGAAGTAAAGCCAGCAATTTTGAGGGCCTGGGCAAAACATTTTATTTTTACATTTTTCGTAGTATACCTACTAGTACTACCACTACTACGACTACTACTAATTAAGTTATTTGAACGGTCTAAGAAGTGTATTAGGGTTAATGGAAAATCAAACGGGAAATATAATTTTATGTTTAATTTCAGCCCCTTTCCCTTTCATTCCGCGAACCTTTTGACCTCCTATCGTATAATAAAATAACAAACCACAAAATAGTGAATGGTGAGCTGACAGGCGCTAATTTTTTTATTTAATTTTATTTACATTTGCTTATATTCGCCGAGTAGTGGCGACGTAAACGAATCGTTGAGGCCATTTCATCCCGAGACGGGTGTCAGAAAAGGCGACTATAAGAAAGGCTAAAAAGATACATATCCCACTATATACGGCGGTATACTATCTCGTATAAGTATATCTGTTACGGCCTACGGCTGCTCCCTTAAAGGATCAGATCCTCAGGGGCCCATGAGCTGAAGACTTCCCGAGCAGACGTAGGTCGAGCCTCAATGTGGCCACGTGGAATCTCTCGAATTACACTAAAATATATGGGGGAGCGTTCTATACTACAGCCAGTCGACCGGCAGAGGAATTAGGCGGAGCTTACTTACCTATATCCAAGGCGACTGGTCCCTCCGGAGTCGGTCAGGTCACATGTGGTTGTGTAGTGAAAGGGAAATAAGTGATGTGATGTGTATCTGGGTGGGACTGGTGGTGATTGAACCTAGACCTTGGCCGTCGGCAGCAGCCCGAGCGTCGACATCGCTCCAACTTGAGGGGGCCTTCCGAGGTTGCCCACAGTCACTTTCTTCTTTCGTCACGTTGACAGTCAATTAACTCTATCGTACGATTTACTAACTTACAGAAGCCACTAACTATCGCGGGTTATAAGGTTAACACACAAAACGCACACGGAGTTTACAGTTTATTAAAGGTCACTACCGTTTCGTTTCGCAACAGTTAGTTCTAGAATACAGAGGCCGCACTAGCTAATATTGCCTAATGCACTTATGCAGATTCTGAGTCAAACACAATGAGTCCCTGGGAAGCTCTCCAGCAGGAATGCGCGTCACAATGATAGACCGTATATTTACTGGCCGCGCCGAATTATTCCGAGTTCCCTAACAGACTACAGCGTGCCAATCGTTAGCACCGCTTATGGACGAATGCCCTTGGGCGTTTTACGCACGACCGAATGTCAAACCGGTATGACACTGAGCCGCGCGCCCTCTCGCGTTCGTTCCCGAAATTAGCGTTTAGCGCGAACAAACCCCCGTCCCGGACATAAGGATTTAGGTCCGCGAGCAAACCGGGCAGCGGGACAAGGTCGCGACGGCAAGTTGCAAGACCAAATCTACAACCAAACTAGGCCACCTTAGGCAACCCATCAGATCTTGCAACCCTAACCAACGCCCCAAAAGATAGCCCTAATGTGGCAAGCCGGAGGGTCAGCCTCCACTGGATGCCCCTCCTGGGCATCGCAGCACTTTAACAAGTCCTGTACTGGACAGAAGTCCGACGACCTCTTTCAAACACCTATCTGTGCCCCTATGATTAGTTCCGCAATCCGACCGGATCAGCTCTGCAAACAGCGACGCGACACGAAGCGGCCCCGAGCGGCCTCCTAAGCTTCAGTGCAGAGAGCACCCACAAATTCCACATGAACGTCGTCTGTGGAGAGCCGAACGAAACGCACAGATAGTCCCTAGTATGAATTTTCAACAAGTAGGCCTAGCCAGGCCACTCACCATATTATCATTTACTAAAATAGTGCGGCAGCTGATTTCAATCTGATAATCTCCAAAACTAGCTAGCCTGTTAGACAATTAGTCCTATGCTCATATTTCAACTAATTTTTCAAAAGCATCAATGTTCAACTACAGAATTAATTCAACCAAATTAATCACCGATGCGCATAGGTCAACTTGCAAATTAAACAAAACAATAACGTAAGGGACAGCCCTACTTCTTCGCAAAGCAAAATGATTAAACACTATCTATGTATATGTTACATAATTTTTCAAATAGCGCGCCATTCAATTTCCTTTCAGCAAACAGACGCAACAATCAAATACAGTGATTAAATATATGTACAAAACACATGCAGTAGCATTTAAAGGAGTAGATTAAATTCAATTCTTTTAATTTAAACCGCTACAAATAGGAAAATTTCGCGGAAAGCCCAAAGCAATTTTTAATTTTAATTCAAGTATTTTTTGACTAAGTGCTCGACCAAACCAAATCTAATACCTCTTGGCAGCGTGATTCAACGCTCCAGAGGGGCCCTAATCTTCCCACCACCAAGGGGAGGCCACATGGCGTGAACCCGAGATCGCTAACAGTCGCCACTTGGGTTGTACGCCTTCACTGAGGCCGTCGGCAACAGAACATTTTGACAAGTGGACTGTTGACGGCTTAAGGCTCAGTGGAGGTGGCCGTGGTGGGAGCTAAGGCGGCAGCTAGCCAGGGCCGCCTCCATCAAATGGGGAACAGTGGTACACCAGTCGCGGCCACTCAGCTAACGGGAGTGAGAAGGGTCCAGCGGACCGATGAGTGGCCGTGAAGTTCCTCTCCACACGCTTAGGGGGGGTGATGACACCCCCGCCCCTGGGGGAATTACCCCCCGACTGGTCGGGGGAGGGACCCCTTTCAAACTTAGGGGCCTGATGGCTGGCCGGCGGGCGCCGAGAGTCACCCGGCAGAGGGCGTGGCTGAGCGCCCCCGCCCGTGGGGGTCGAGGGCCTGGCAGAGCCCCGAGAGGAGACGCCGATCGCACTCAGGCACAAAACGGCATGATGATTGCCCTGGCAATGCAGACAGGGCCGCCGATGCGGACAGTCTCGCTGGAGGTGTCCTCCCAAACATGAGCAGCACCAGCGGCGCTCCTTGGCGATAGTTCGCCTCGCTGGAACCGGCTTACCTAATAATTTCGGGCACGACGTTACCCGATGATCAGATGCTCGACAATAGAAGCAGGGGGGGGGGGGGGGGGTTGACGACGACTTGCCTGGAGGATTCAACCTCTCACTGGGCACGGCTCGTAAGTCGTCAACGGTGTCCGCCGCGCTCTCTATCTGCCGGCACTGCTCCTCCAAAAACCGCAGCAGATCATAGAAGGGCGGAATATAGGAGGCCTCATCCCCGCCGTACCTCTCCTCAAAATGGATTCGAAGGTCGAGAGGTAGACGGGACAGCACGATGCGAAGCAACAAAAAAGCCCATTCGCCCACTGGTAAATCTAGCCGTCTCAACGCATTACAGGCCACCAAGACTGGATCCAACAGGTCCGGACGTAGTCTGGCCCGGTCACTAAGCAGCGGGAGGCTTAGAAGCTGCTTAGCATGTTCGTCCGCAATTCGCCGGACGTTGGCGTATCTTCTGGCTAGGAGGTCCCGAGCAGTCTGGTAGGCGTCGTCCGACAATCTCAAGTGGCCGACGACGCCCAGGGCCTTCCCCTCCAGTGAGGCCAGGAGGTACACCATCTTTTGCCTCGGGGTCAAGTCACTCCGGGAGTCCACTAGGCTGTCGAAAAGACCAACGAAGGTCAGCCATTCGGAAAGG